ACTCGCCTCCCTTGGCACAGCATCCCTGGCACCTCCACGCCCAGTTCTCTTGGCACCGGCGCTAACCTCTTCTGCACACACGTTGTGACTAATATTTTGCTTCTTCACAGCCAGCCTCCCAGCTTCACACGAGACTTCGTGGCTTAGATTGCAGTGCGTTGCAGCCCAACGGCTTTGAAATTGAAAAAATCAGGAAGTCCACCATTTCAGTCTTGGCTCTGCTGGGAATTCACTAGCACTTCCTTACCTTTTTTGGGCGGCTTGTGACGGGCGAAGGGGGCGCCGAAACTGGCAGGTGAAACGCCGCATTTTTCTCGTTCATCCTCCAGTGAGCTCAGATCGGCAAACATGGCTGTCCTCCACCACTGCACAGTATCCTTACCACAACCCTATGAAGTAGGTCAGGATGAGAGAAAGAGGCTGGTCCAAGATATCCAAGTGAGTTTCATGGCTTGGTGTGGGCTAGAATGCGAATCTCCTACTCTACCGACTGCACAACATGCACACATTCTCACACTCTTCTCTCTCCCCCCCCCATCAAGACTCACCATCTGCAAGATAGGGAATAATACTACTAACTCACCTTGCAGGATTATTGTAGGGATCGCAACTAGAAAATATGTGCGGAGCTCTTTGAGTACTTGAAAGCATGATAAAGAGGTTAGATATTGTTCTCAGCATAAAATGTTTGTTGATTTTATTCTTGTAAGTAACTTTAAGTGACTTCAAATGCATCCAGCATTTTCTGCCTCAGATGCCAAAATAACATGACTGCCTTGGATGCTATGTTTTGTGAATTAAGGAGGCAGGTGTTTACCATTCTGCTTCAGGAAGCAAAATATCTTGGGCTGGCCCTGATAACATGTTGATTGCTAATCTTATAGTCTGAATAAACCATGCATCAAAAAGAATCCTTGTGCTATGCAGTACACAAAGAAACAGTTCTGCCCTCTCCAAAATTAGACCTGATCAAATTACCATCAGCTATTTTCTCAAAAGTGTATTAACATGAACGACAGAAGCAACTGTTGGTGGTGGCCTGTAATGACTCACCCATAAGGGAAGGCTTTGATATGAAGAATTAGAATTTCTCTGCTGAAGAAAGGAAAGCAAAAAACATTTAATCTGTTTATTGGGCAAAACATATATTTCTATTAATGATTCTAAGTTCTGTAAGGACCAGGAAGCATCATTCGCTCACCCCCACTGAGTTTTATTAGTTTATGATCCTTTCTGTTTTTTCACAGAGATCATGATATGGCTTGTTTAGACAAACCATAGACAGCATACAGTATTATATTATTTTTCAGCATGGTTCTTTCTATGCTCGGCCTGTTGATTTTCAGTCATTTGCAAATGATGCTACTCAAAGCCATCCTTTCCATCAGGCAGAGCAAAGCAACCACCTCTACTAGCTTAGTGAGTAGAGAGAGTGGCAGCAACCTCTGTTCTTCCTGAGCCGCCTTCTTTCATACGTAGAAAGCAAGTGTTTCACATGGTCCAAAATGGGAAACATAAACAGGATTCCTGCCTCAGGAATGATGGATATGCTGTCCTTTTGCCAGTGCTGATGTATTATGATTCAAAGGGAGCTCAGCTGGCTTCTGTATATGAAATGGATATACAGTAGATCTTATCTTCTCATTAGCCTCAGGTAGCCAAAACCTTTTAGTTGGCCCTGACTATAGTACCAATAACTCTGTTTCCATTCTGTGATGAATTACTGTCAAGTGAACCATTTATGCTTTCATTTAAAAAACACATAATTTAGTAACTCTTAAGTTACTGATTCTTAAGAAATAATTATGGCTTACAACAGAATTCTGACATATTTTAAATTTTAGGCCCTGTGTGAGTGTGAGGCCCAGGGTAAATGGCTTTCTTGCCCTGCTCATGATAAGCCCTGTACCAGTTAAAGGAGAATATAGAAGAATGACTCACTATAATTATTATGAGCATAGATGAAATAAAAATAACAAGGCTGAAGAAATAGCTTGGCTTTGATTAGCAACTATAAATCCTAACCAATGTTTCAGGCATGAACAACTGATGAGAGGACTTTAAAGTACAAATTTAAGAAAGCACTGTCCTGCTGACTTAAGATGCTTAATGCTTTGCAAAGGGATACTGAGTTGGATAACCCTTGACCTCCTACTGACTTTCATTAGCTAATACATTAGTGTTTAAGGAGCTCAGTACGAAGCCGCTGTGAACCCACAGCAAATGTCTGAATAATACAAAAAACTCTAATATAACTGGATTCACCTACACACAGCATGACTTTCTTTATGCCTGTACATATCTTGACATTGTTTGTTTGAAAAGTGTCTTTTTTTAGGATGCATAGTGAAGGGAACTGCCTTGGTTGTTCAGTAGAACTGAAAGAAAAATGTAAAAGCTATTTGTAAAACTTTACTAGCAGATGGCCAAAGCATTCAAGATATCTGGCAGTCCAAGATTTTTCACCCAGACCAATTTTCTCTCGTACTAGGAAAGCAATACTGGGGCTTAGACACTACTGGAAACAAAAGATGATTCTGGACTGCAGCAAGCTGTGGCTCCAGTTAAGACTCTGAACACAGTGATAAAAGGCCAAACCTGGATCACTATGCAAAACCTGTCTAGCATGAAACTTTCCATTGACTTCTGTACATAAAGAACTACCTTCGCCAGAACTAAATTAGCCCATTGGAAGTGTGTTTGCTTCACAGTCAAGATCTGAGATTCAATCCATGGGCATTTGCCACAGAAGGACCTCAAGTCTGACAAAATATGAAACTGTAAGCAAAAGGTAAGAGTTATCAGAAGGCCAACACTAGGAACTTCTATGAAAAAGATTCTGCAGGGTTACTTTTAGGAGCTCTGCTTTTATCAAGGCCCATCCGGAAGTGCTCTTACAAGGAATTACTGTACCTAAATAAAAGGGAACTTTAGGTTTCCTGTGAAGCAGCCACTTTATCAAATGAAAGGTAACACTAATCTGTTAGTGCCGCTCTATATTTCTCTGTATGTCAACAGAAAAAAGTTTACAGGATACATATTCTTAAAATTTGGGATGCTGGAGTTTCAAGTCTGCTTATTTAGAGCAACTGAGGTATTTTCAGCACCTCCACAGGGTATTATTCTCGATACTTCACACATCCCTATGATGGAAACAGAGAGCCTGGTTGGAATTCACCTCGAATTACTCCTTAGATTGGAGGCTTTGCTACCTTCTGTGCCTCTTATTACTGGAAGTGACAGGATGAGGGCATTGTCACTTTATGAAGGCTGGGGACTACAGGATTTTCGGGTGCCCTGTTGTGGTGGAGTGCCACTGGGAGGTTGGCATGTCTTCACGTGGCAAGTGGGAAGGCACAAAACATTTATTGCAGGTTTGGCTGTTCCGCGAGTATTTCCCCACCACCGCAGGAAAAAGGAGTGGAAAGTTTGGAAATGTGAAGGTACAGACACGCTCTAGACACAAAGGCCAACGAGCCCCGTTTAAAACCTCAAAAAAAAAGACGACGTTGCGGTAAGATAAAAAGAGGAGGACTACCAAGGACACAAGACTGGGGGCAGCACCGCTTCTCTGCAGTCCTCTACCACAGTATCTCCTTTTCTGGTGGAGACTCTATGGTAACGCGGAAGCGAATAAAGCATTCGTGAGTTGGTGTCTGCGTCTATGGTCGGGAAGCTGTTGCTGGGAGCCGGTCTCTCTTGTTCCAGTCAGGTAAAGGGATTGTCTGGTCTCAGAGACTGAGCGAGTGTCGCCATGGTTACTCCCTTCATATCGTCCCAGCTAACGTTCCCTAGGTCTAGGTCATATGCTTGCCGTCTTTTCTTTCCTGCTTCTCTTTCTTGTAGGAAACAAAAACTGTGTGGTCCGCTAACTTTCCTGAGGCTGGTAGAGCTTCCCTCCTGTTGGGTGGAGTTCCAAGGACCCTTTGCAGGCGGGGGAAAGGGATGTTGGGGGTGGGAGTGGCCGCTCTCTTAAATAAGAGGTATTAGCCAGTCTTACTTAGTCAACATCACGTGCCTGTGTTGTAAGCGTTGCAACAGCTGTAAAGGTGCCTGCCTTGGCCCTGATGCATGGAGCAACACGGCTCCAGAATACTGGTAGTGAAAGTAAATGTCTTTACCTTTAGTAGGTTGGTTAGTATAAAATCTTTGCCCCTTGGGGTCAGGCTCTCTCTCAAACAGGAGCTGTGGTTGACCGGTCTCTGTGCTCGTTAACAAATTTCAGATTGGTGAGTGAGCTACTTTTCCTTTTAAGAAATTATATTGATGTACTTAAATTGAGATCTCTAGTTCCTCAGTGATTTTCCCCGTTTGTTTTCTGTCTTTGCAGATGGCACCTGCAGCCCCCAAAGCAATAATGCTTCAGAGCTTAGCAAAATTACTTCAGGATTCAGGTGAGGCTCTGGTGATTTGAAGGACTTCAACCTGAGGTTTATTTGGGTGTGAAATGACACACTTGCTCTGCTCTAAATGGCAGCCAGTATGGCTATACATTGGGCCTGCATATTTGTATGTGCAAGTAGTTTCTCACTGTGCATTGTTCTAATGAGTTGTTACAGCAATGGCAGACCAAGGTCTTTCAGAAGTTAAATATAGGGCTGCACAGTTATGTTCTGATAAATTTTATTTATTTATTTTATATCCTGCCTATCTGGTCTTACGACCACTCTGCTTATTTCTTCTGCTGAACAAAGTCTGTCTGTTCCTTAACATGTCTCTCTCTCTCTATCTATCTAACCATCAAGAGGCACTCTTCAGAGTAGCCATATTGTTTACTCTTGTACTTGCTCATGAGATTATTGCCAAAAGAGGACAGTACTTCAGCTCAAGAAGGGAAATTACAATTTCATCTCTAGGAAGAAGTTTTTTCATTATATTGTTTCTTGTGTAGAATGATTTCTACTGGAGGATTTGCAAGCTTCTTTAGAGAAAAAAGATGTAGAATAGTTGGAGAAGCCTTCTATATAACTCCACTGAACATAACCCTCAGGACATAGGCAGCAGTTGTGATGCTGCATAGTACAGGTATGAGTGAAGGCTGCAGAACTGATATTGGCCAGAATCCTATTGAGATTTTATTCCAAAATGAATGAAGGCATGTAAGTCATGGTAGCAAATAGTGGCTAGTCAATAAAATGTTAGTCATGTGCCTGGTCATATGCCTGTCATCCACCTGTCAGGTGACTGACATCTTGTTAATCAACAGCAGTTTGCTACAGTGACTTAATACAAGTTCACTTATGCTAGAATAGAACCTTAGTAGGAGTCTAGGCTCTGTGTTCTGAATAACCTCGACAGAAATTATGGTGACCTATATTCCTTTGCCTGTAAAGATGGGAATAGGATGAAAACCTATTATTGGAGCATCACAGCGAAACCTGACCAGTTTCAATCAAACAGACTCAATTGGCACAAAAAAAACCTCACAGGCTTAGCTTCCAAGTTAAACTTTTTAAAATAAAAACAATAAAAGTCAGACTTTCGACAAGGAAAAAACATCCTGTCATCTTCAAGATTACAAACAGCCATTTGTAATCTTGAAGATGATAGGACGTGTTTTCCTTGTCAAAAGCTTGATTTTTATTGTTTTTGTTTTTAAAAAATTATTTGAAAGCTAAACCTGTTAAATTTTTTTGAGCCAATTCAGTCTGTTTGACTGGGATTGGTCAACTTTTTCCGTCAGAACAGGATGCCATCTTAGCAGGCTTAAACAGTACAATCAGAGCTTTCTTCACAGTGAAAAGTGCATATATTGTAGATCTGCTAATGTTTCTCCTTTTTGTTTTGTTCAGGAGATTTGATTCTAGATGGTACTAGCACCTTGACCTTGTTCACCTCCACACTACAGACTCTCACTCAAATCTTTGAGCAGCATCTGTTGCCACGAAACCAGAATCATGGTTTCATTGCACTCTCGTCACACCCTACTGAAACATCTGCTATCCTTCAAGCCCAGTTCCTTTTTGATGTTTTGCAAAAGACTCTCTCACTGAAGGTGTGTACTGGAGTACAGGGTTCTGAGCAGTGGCTCTCTGGGAAAGCAAGGGGTTTGAGAAAGATAGCTATGCCTTAGGAGTGAGGAAGCTGGGGTCGTGCTGATAAATGAATGAGATGCTGGTTTGTAATCTCTTCCTAGAAGGGTAGAATTTGCTATGTCAAAAATAAATGAGGCTACTTAAAAAAATTATTTACATTCCCTGTTGAATTTTGAGAAATGTCATTAATTAGAAAATCTGACTAGAAAATGATACTGAGAAGTATCAATGATGCATAGTTAAAGTTGATACAACTGTACACTAAAAATCACTGACAGCTACACTCTTGCTTTGGATTGTAAAAAAACACCCAGTTATAATGTAAAGCTGTTCTTAGAACAGTGATGTCCAGCTACTTATTGCTTTCCAGAGGTTGAGCTTCAGCAGCTATTAACTTGCGGTGAATACTTAAAGGTATTAGAGGCTGCAGTCCAGCAATATATAAAGGATCACAAATTGTTCATTCGTACCTTAACCTAAATTAGACTGTGCATCCTTTTAGTCCCGCCTTAGCTGGCATCAATTCTATAAAACTTTCAGAAAAGGATGCTATGTAATATACTTGCCAGTGGAGGCACTTTGCACTAAATCTGTATTGTAATGTGTGGAAAGTATATGATTGACCACTTATCTACAGCCTCTTTCTGTAGAATCCTATTAACAGTTAATCTTTAGCATTATTACTGTAGTAGAGTTTTTTAATCACAACTTTTTTTTTCTGGTGGTAAAACCTAATAGACATTACCTGACATTTTTCTCTTTCTGGGTCAGACAACCCTGCAATTTCGTGCAGTAGAAGCATCTACTCTAAATATCAGCCAGTGGTGTGTGTGATGATCTGCTTAATGAATTTAGCAGCATTAAGTACAGCTCTAATCAGGAGTGTATTAGATTGTCTCCGTGGATTTATTTAATGAAAAGTATGCAGGGTACTGACAGTCCCAATGAAAAAACAAAATGTCTTAAGAGTTCTCTACTCTGTTGTGTGGAAACTAGGGTGTAGGCAACAATATATTCAGCCAGGGTTGACTGGCATAAGGCTGAGGGGGTGGTGGAAGATTGGTAAAGGCATTTGCTTCCTCTTGGCTGTAAATGTATATCCATGCCATCTGTCAAAGCAGACAAAAAACAGATTGGGAAATTTAGGATGTGCTGGAGTTGTTATTCATGAATGATCAGTAACTTGGCCTTAAAATAACTGAAGAGAAATGTGGTAGTAGAGAAAGGTAAAGTGAATAATAATTTGGCTGATACCTGAAGTTGATGCAAGAGGATAGAAATCTTGATTTGGCATTCTGCAGATCTGAACCACACATTTTACGGTGGGTGGGGTGTTGGTTTTTGTTTCTTTGTCAGTTATGGGAACTAAGTAGTTAAGTAGTTTAGATTCAGATTTATTCTGACAATTTAACTGTATATTTCCTTCTTCAGTTTGTGTTTTTTGACAGGGAGTAGTAACAGAGCAGAATGAGGGACCATCAGGGAAGGATAGGGAACTCTTCTTTATTAAATATTGGCTCTTGGTAGAGACAGGAATGGGCATTTCTGTCTCTCAATTTCTCTCATTTTGCAAGTCCCATCAAACACTGACAACATTGCAAATAGTCAAGAATTGTGGGAGGGGTGTTTCATATATAAGAATGATCTTAAAGCTGCAGAACTGGAAGGGCTCTATAGATTATAAAGCCCTGAACCTGTTAAGGAGGCACAGTGAAGAACATACACCACTGCCACAGCCATATACCAATACCAGCAGTTTTTTAGAGTACCAGAATTCTACAACTGCCTTAGCATAACCCTCCTGTTTATTAGGGATTTCCTCCATAATCCCAACACTATTTCTTCTGGAGTGGTGGTAAAATTGGAGGTGTTACCATTCTACATTTTGTGAAATCTGATGATATCTTACCCTACAGTATACATGAGTCACTTGGTCTTGCCTTGGCAGGATGACAAAAGGCTGTCCGTAAAAGGTCTACAGAAATGTACGGTTATTGTGGTTTGGGGTTGTAGGATGTTAGGGGACAGAGTTGTATACTTTGTTCTAAGACGAGAATGTGTGGCATTCAGAAGGACCAAGTTTAGACAAAGACAATAAGTCTGGAAGAGCCCACCCAAAATTAAGCTGGTACCATATTCAGGGACGTGATGTTGCTGCGGTTAAACTGCAGACGCCTCTGTGCTGCAAGGTCGGAAGACCAGGCGTAAGATCAAATTCACGCGATGGAGTGAGCTCCTGTCACTTGTCCCAGCTCCTGCCAGCCTAGCAGTTCGAAAGCATGCAAATGCGAGTAGATAAATAGGTACCGTCATGATGGGAAGGTAACAGTGTTTCGTGTCTAGTTGCGCTGTCCACGTGACTACAGATGATATCTTACCCTACAGTACAAACTGTACTTTGGACAAATGCTGGCTCTATAGCTTAGAAATGGGGATGAGCATCGCCCCCTAGAGTCGGACACAAGTGGACTAAATGCCAAGGGGAGCCTTTACCTTACCATATTCAACCCTTGAAAAATAGATGTGTGCATTGTAGCTTTCGTTATAATTGCTAAGTAGGCATACCAGGTAGCAAGGTAGATAAATGTTAACCAGCAGAATCTGAGGTGGCAAAGAAGGGCGAAGGATGTAATGGTGTCATATGTGTATTGGTGCCAAACATACTCTGTTCATTGAATGAGTTTGCTATAATTGGCATTAACGGATGGGTTTAGCCCTTTGGCTTTTCTTTTTCATCATATCTTATCTTTCCTTAGGGACACTGTTCAGAATATTTCTGTTAGTTCTATTTACTCTGCTGGTCATGAGACATTTAGCCAGAGCAGGGATGACACACAGATATGGATTGGAGTGTACTTGCCAATTTTAGTTATCTAAGTTAAAGTAGCTGTGGGCTTTTCTGGTGTTTGCTTTTGGTAGTGCAAAAATCTCTTCACTTGGGAAGGATGTTTGTGCTGAAGTTTGCAGAGCCTCAGTCCTTAGTTAACCTTTAAATGTGGGAGATGAGGGTTTCTTGAAGCCTTTTCACAAAAGCTGCCAGTGCAATCTTATCCCCAAATCATGCTCCGTGAGGACACAGACATCTGCATATTGAACACTGCTTCAGATCTGTGACCAGGTAGATAGTATCTGCATGACATCAGCCAGGAAGGCTGGCTAGATAAGTGTGCTACGGGTGTCTGGAATGTATTTGAAGAGGCTTATTGGTGTGATTGGTTGTCCTGTCAAAACTGGAGGAAGAATGATGGTATCTGTCAGGCATGGAATTCACATTAGGGTCCAGATCTTGTGATTGGTATCTAAAGCCCTCATGCCAGTTTATCATGATGTACTTTCATTGCATGTTTTTTTCCACTTTATTAATCTAGTGTAATCTCTCAGATATTTGTAACTGGAGAACAGTCTACAGTTGAATAACACATCCTCTTCAGATTTTTTTTCAAGGAGGTAGCTGTGTTTGTTGTAGCAAAAACAGTAAAGAATCCTACGGCATCTTTACAACTAAGTAGTTGAATTGACCTAAGCTTTTCTGGACTGTACTCCACTTTTTGTTCTACCTCAATCATATCTAATATTTTATGTAGCTCCATAAGTATATCTAGTCATAGATTCTTTACCCTGAGACATGTATAGCCCCACAGTGCAGTCCTGTATATATCTGCTTGGAAGTAAATTTCTTATTTAATTTTTGGCTTGCTTCTCTTCCAGTACAACGTGACTTACAAAAGAGTTAAAAAGAGGTATAGTTTTAAAAGTCCAGGAAACTATAATACGTATTAAAGTTCAATTCAGATTATCATAGTAAAATAAGATTTGAAACATATTGAAAGTATATTAAAAAACCCTTCTTCATCAGCCTAGCAGTTGCCAAAAGCCTGCCTGCATCAGAAGATATTTGCCTTTATTAAATGAATTTTATAGCAAAGGATGTCTAAGATTGCAACTTAAATTTGTTTCACATTTCAGTGGACATTTCTGTTTTTTTTAGTCTCCACCTAGCCTGCACTGTCATGTGTCAGCTTCTGAATGACTTTGTGCCCTTCTAGTTTTTTGTCTTGTGCCTACCTATACGTAGTTGGTGAGAGTATGTATTTAAACCTGTCACTATGATGTGCTCCACTAGTGCAATCACTTGGTTTGTTCTGTTATGCTTTTTAATGTGGATTTTGGCTAACAATTTGGGCACAAAGCCCACATCAACAGTTAGCTCAGTTCTTGCAATTCACAGTATGTATGGGACTAGATTGCATTCACGTTTGATATAAATTGAATATTCCTGCAGTAAAGCAAACAGTATTGGGTAACTGGTGAGAGAATAAAGAATAATGTTGCTACTCCTTGGTTAGAATCAGTTGTGTGAAGCTTTTACTAGACCAATACAATTGCATTATAAATTTATTTAATTCCATTACTCCGGAGTTCAGGGCACTCTTAGTGACGGCTAGTTCATTATGGCTATTGGGCACTGCCTTACCTCAGGCTCAGTCTATACCTAATCAACCCACTTCTGCCTGTCTTATCCCAGGCAGAGGATCAGGGTTCCAACCTCTTTTCCTTCCTACTGAGTTCACAGCCTTAAACTCTGTGTGATTATGGTTGTGAGATAGGCAAAAAAGAAAAAAAATGAAGCAGCAACAGGTAACATACAGTTTGTTGCTTCTAACTCTGTCCAGCATTGGCTTCAGTAGCTGCCACCTTCCAGGAACAAAGAATACCAACTCCCCTTGAGCATTGTGCATGGTATTTATACTTCTTCCTTTTGAAATGAGATTAGAGAAGAACCAAGTCTAGTGTAGGCATTCTTGATTTCAGCAGTCTCATTTAGAGACTCATTTAGGTCTATATTTTATTTATTTATTTATTTATTTGTTACATTTATAGCCCGCCCATCTAGTCGTGCCGACTACTCTGGGCGGGTAACAACATATCAAATCTAAATACAGTTTAAAATCATAACATATTACTAAAATCACAATGATCCAGATGGAAGAAGGCACAAAAAACAAAATCAGACGGTGGATGGAGGAAAGGCTTGCTTGAACAGCCAGTTTTTCAGTTTGCATTTGAAGATGCCCAGGAAAGGTGCCATGCGAATCTCAGGAGGGAGGCTATTCCAAAGACGAGAAGCCACTGCCGAGAAGGCCCAGTTTCTTGTTTTTTCCTTCCGGGCCTCCCTCGGCATTAGGCTATTTGTAATTTAGGCTATATGCTATTTAGGGTTTTTTGTCATTTTTTTTTCAGCCATTGGTATTTGAAAACTTTTACTGATGAGCTGAAGTGCCTAGAGATCTACCAGTAGATCCTAGTGTGCCTTCTTCCACTGCTGCCTTAAAACATTGCATCTGAACCTCCTTGAATCATATAGACACATCATGTTAGACTGGGCATGTGTCCATTGTCTGGATAAAAGTAATTGGAACTATAAGGGAATATATTGGGAACAATAATTTGCAAATTTGGGACCCTAGATATTCTTGAACAACAGCTGGTAGAATCTCTGGTCATTGGCCATGCTAGGTAGGATTTCTGCTGGTTGAAGGCCAACTACGTATGTTTGGGGATACTGCACAAGAGTAGCACGTGAGCACAGAATGAGTTGCTTATCTGGGTACTACTCCAGATAGCATAACTTCCATGCAAAAGCAAAGACTTGATGAAACTAGCTTCTGTTATGTGCAACTATTACTTAGCATGAGGCATCTCATTAGATTTGATCTCTTAGTATTGAAACTCTAGAAGTTGTATGAATAACACATGCTACTAAGTGGAGTACAGGCTTATTTCATTTGTAGGTTTTGCAGATTGGATGGCTTATCTTGAGGAATACCGTATTTTGTAGCAAATAAAGCACATGGGATTAGCCTGGCTTCATGGATCTTTACCAAAAGATGGGGATAGCATATCAGTGATAGGATGAATTTGTAATGGTGAGTCTTATTGCTAGTGCCTGACTGTCTTCTTCATCTTTTAGCTCATTCATGTTCCTGATTATGCTCTGCCAGCAGATGTGAAGATTTCGCCCTTCAAATCTTTGCGACGTCTAGAGGCAAGTCTGAAGCATTAATGTGGGAGTCCTTAAGAATAGAACAGATAAAAGATAGCTTGGTCTGTTGTTAATGATGGCTCCACAAGGAGAAACTGTACTAGTGGATCAAACTAGAGTAGAAATTTGGAAATTCTGTAACTAGGAATTTTCATGCTAATTAACCAATCCTTGCTGCCTACAATCTACTCTAAATCTAATATGCAGAAAGAAAATCAGTTTCATTGTAGTTGATAAAGGGCAAGCAGCCAGGAACTATGGTTAAAGATCAAAAACGAATATGTTGAGAGTGCTTATAAATGTCAGTACGTGGGAATTTGGTTGAAAGAACAGCAGGAGCATAGCCATATAATAAAAGTCAGATGGCTCACACAAGTTTGCTTAAGATGAAGAATATACAGTAGTATGTTAAATAAACTTAAAATTGTTTTTTGCAAATGCTGATTGTACAATGCAATGTACTCTCTGTTCTGCTACATAGAATTTTGGATTGTAACACAGGCAGCTTGTCAAAGTGGGTTTTATTGCAAGGGTGCTAGGAACTTCTTGAATCAAGAAAGTGATAAGGAAGAAGCACTAAGGGGAATGAGTAAAGACTAAGTAATTTAAAAGGCATAAAATGAAGATGCTAGAATAATTCAGTCATTTAATGAGAAATTCAAAGTACAGAGTATTGTGGTTGATTATGCAGAGTAAAACAAGAAAGGGAAGAACCACATCACTGTTTAGAAATGCCTTATCTGAGGTCAGTATAGACATAAAAATTATGGAGAGGTTCTTATAATTAAAGGATTCCTGGTCCTATGATTTGGTGGGAACCCTTGCCCCCAGCTGGATTATGGGATCTGGAGCCTCAAACTAGGAGGCGGTAGAGCAGCCCCCACCCATGGCCATCCCATGGTGCTTCTTTGAGCCATTAGGAAACAACAGAGGCAACCTCCATCAGAACTTGTTCCCCCATGCATCTTTGCTAGTTGAGGGGAATTCTTGCAACTCCCACAGTGTAGTGAGGCAATTTTTTAATGGTTTGGAGGAGCAGGGAGGTGAGGGGAATGCTCTACCAGCTGCAGGTTTAAGGACTCCCAGTTCCAAATTCAGCCTAGGAGTCCTATTGAATAATGGGATTGGGAGTCTTTTAATTCTGAAAATCCCATCCCTAATTATATGTCCTGGGAGGAGAGTTTTAAACAAAAATGATTGTGTACAGTATAAAATCTTGGATGTGGAAGAAGTTACTGTTACAGTTTTGAGCAAATCTGAAAGATCACAGGACCAAATTTTTATCCCACTGCTGCAAGATAGTGAAGGAAGTTCAGGTAATGATAAAGAATATATGGAATAGTCTCTTGAGGGGACAGTGAGATGTTAGAAAATGTATACTGTCCTCTGGAGAAGAGCATTATCGCTATGTGAGCATGCTTTTTCTTTTTAACATGTGTTTTTCTCTTTCTTTTCCTTAGCTGAAGTGTGTTCCTTTGCACTGTCTCCGGGGTCTGCGGTTTGTCTATTCCCAGTTGGAGGCTTTGACCTGTTCCAAATGTGTGAACTCCTTGAAGGTGAATGGGGAGATATATTACATTGCTTTCTCTGTTTGCTGAAAGACAGAGTGGTTTAATCTGAATTCTTTATTGTATATCTCATAAATGCAAACTAAACATGATGCTCATCAGTATGATCATTTCCCCAAAGGTTTTGCTTTCTTGCACCAAATAGTTAAGACATGCTATAGGTGGGAGGGGGCAGAATTTCACATGTGGTGAAGAGGGTACATTTAACTTCCTTCCCCTCTGGCCTTTTTTTTTTCCTTACTAAAAGTATTCAGTTTTTGATAAGAAAATGTAGTACTTGAAGAGAAGATTAAGTGATTCATATTACCCGCTCCCTCAGCCCACGTCTTCTTCATAGTGTTGTTTTTTTTAGGGGGGGGCATCTGTCTTTCTTCTTGTTTTTAAACACTTTAAAGAGAAGATTCATGCAGTGAATGCCACATGAAAACACAGACTCAGTCCTGCAGGGAGACATGATGGCTTCCAGGTATTCACTGAGGGATATTGTTTTCTGAAGACAGTGGTCTAGCAATTAGAAGTGTGTGCTTTGCCTTGCAAACTGGTTGAGTGGTCAAGTAATGGTTTAAGAGGTACTATGCACTGGTGCTAAACTTGCATTAGTAGTAGTTAAAGCAAAAACTGAGAACTTAAATTTCATATGCAAAATATCAGAGCCATTGTCAGCTGGCTTGCTGTTGTGTCTGTGCTTGATAAGCAAGCATTACCTGTTAAAACAAACTCTGTTTTCAGATCATGGAGATAGGAAGATTGTTGTTGTTGTTTGGTTGTTAAGTTGTGTCCACCTCTTTGTGACCCCATGGACCAGAGCACGCCAGGCCCTCCTGTCTTCCACTTCCTCCCGGAGTTGGGTCAAATTCATGTTGGTAGCTTTGATGACACTGTCCAACCATCTCATCCTCTGTCATCCCCTTCTCCTCCTGCCCTCACACTTTCCCAACATTCAGGTCTTTTCCAGGGAGTCTTCTCATGAGATGGCCAAAGTATTGGAGTATCCTCAGCTTCAGGATCTGTCCTTCCAGTGAGCACTCAGGATTGATTTCCTTTAGAATGGATAGGTTTGTTCTCCTTGCAGTCCAAGGGACTCTCAAGAGTCTCGTCCAGCACCACAATTCAAAAGCATCAATTCTTTGGCGGGCAGCCTTCTTTATGATCCAGCTCTCCCTTCCATACATTGCTACTGGAAAAACCATAGCTTGGACTATGCGGACCTTTGTCTGCAAGGTGATGTCTCTGCTTTTTAAGATGCTGTCTAGGCTTGTCATCGCTTTCTTCCCAAGAAGCTGACGTCTTTTAATTTCATGGCTGCTGTCACCATCTGCAGTGATAATGGAGCCCAAGAAAGTAAAATCTGTCACTGCCTCCATATCTTCCCCTTCTATTTGCCAGGAGATGATGGGGCCAGTGGCCATGATTTTAGCACTTTTTTATGTTGAGCTTTGGTCCATTTTTTGCGCTCTCCTCTTTCACCCTCATTAAGAGGTTCTTTAAATCCTCCTCACTTTCTGCCATCAGAATGGTATCATCTGCGTATCGGAGGTTGTTGATATTTTTTCCGGCAGTCTTAATTCTGGTTTGGGATTCCTCTAGTCTGGCCTTTCGCATGATGTATTCTGCATAGAAGTTAAATAAGCCGGGAGACAATAGACAGCCTTGTACTCCTTTCCCAATTTTGAACCAATCAGTTCTTCCATATCCAGTTCTATCTGTTGCTTTCTGTCCCACACATAGATTTCTCAGGAGACAGATAAGATGGTCAGGCACTCCCATTTCTTTAAGAACTTGCCATAGTTTGCTGTGGTCCATACAGTCAAAGGCTTTTGTGTAGTCAATGAAGCAGAAGTAGATGTTTTTCTGGAACTCTCTGACTTTCTCCATAATCCACCGCATGTTAGCAATTTGGTCTCGAGTTCCTCTGCCCCTTCGAAATCCAGCTTGTACTTCTGGGAGTTCTCGGTCCACATACCGCTGAAGCCTACCCTGTACGATTTTGAGCATCACCTTGCTAGCGTGTGAAATGAGTGCAGTTGCATGGTAAGATAGGAAGATAGGCATTACTTAATTGCTGTGGGTCAAACTTCTCTTTTATCAGCTTCAAACTACTTCATGAGTTGGCAACTCTGAAGACAAGATGCTAAGAGGCACATTTAGGACTCCTACTTGTCCACCTTGTATTCACTTTGCTCTTATTCTTTATTGGCTGAAATCCTGTTGCTTAGTATAGTAAGTCACACTGGATCAGTGAGGATTTTGTGAGTCAACACCTCTATGAGTTCAGTTGATTCAAATGGGCCTACTCTAGTTGTGAATTACCATACTAAAGTAAGTTGCAACTAAAGTAGGCCTGTTTGAATCAGTGGAGTTTATGAAGAAGATGACTCACCAAATCTCTACTGATTTACTATTATAAGCAGCAGGATTTCAACTGTTGCCTCACCCAGCCTCATCTACTAGGTTATTCCATGGTACAGCATGCTGGAGTGCAGAGTGGCTGCAATCTATTAAAACGCAGACTTGTTAACTGGATTCCCTATTCAGTGGTTTCTAGTTTGTATGCTGCTTGCAGCATAGTGACATTTTGTGAGCTGTTCAGGGTGATTACAGTGTTCTTTCCTAAGTGCTTGCAGACTATCTAATTATTCGTTTTGGGACCTTTCCTGGTATCAGTATGGTTGTATAGCTAAATATTTTTCTCTATGTGTCTGCTGAATGAATTCTAAGCCATGAAAACTCAGTCTGAAATAAATCTGCTCATCTTTTATGTGCCACAACTCTTCAAATTTAACAGTTCTTTACTTTGGTGTTGTTAAACATATCAAAACAGACTAATAAAAGTTACTTTTTTGAGAACTGCCATCTGAAAAGGTAGGCTGTATCAGAAGGGACAGTTAAGAAAGCTTATGTCTCTGCTTTCATCACATGCAAGCAAAGCAGCCCAGTAGTGTTTTTCTGAATTGTGCAAGGAATCTAGCTGCTTTAACTGGGTTCACATCTCCAGGGCCAGATGAGCTGCATCCAGAAGTACTAAAGGAAGCTGTGGGTGTAGTGGCAGAACTTCTGTCCATTATCTTTGAGAACTTTTGGAGAACAGGTAAGGTCCTTGAAGACTGGAAGAGAGCAAATGTAATTTCCCCTTTTTGTGAAAGAGAAGACAGATTATTTGGCCAACTATAGAGTGATCAGTTTGATATCAATACAGTACCAGGAAATATCCTAGAACAGTTAATTAGATAGTCAGTTGAAGACATTTAGAAAAGAACATGGATGCTTAAGACCCAGCATGGTTTTACTAAAAGCAAGTTATGTGATACTAAGCTTCTCCTTTTTTTTAGAGGACAAGTATAGTTGGTGAAAGGAATGCTGTAAATACAATGTATCATTATTCCAGCAAGGGTTTTGGCAAAGCTTCTTCTGATATTCTTATGGCCAAGTTGGTGAAATGTGGTTTAGGTGATGCTACTGTTTGTAGCTGGTTGACAGGTCATACCTAAAGAGTGCTTTCCTGTAGATACTCATTGTCCTGAAAAGAAGTGCCAAGTGGGGTGTCTTAGGCCCTGTGGTAACATTTTCATAAGTGATTTGCATGGGCATCTGGATGAGATGCTCGTTAAATGTGCACATGATGCTAAATTGGGAGGTGTGGGTAATGTTTCAGAAGATAGAATAAATGATTCAGGAAGATTTTAACAGACTGCAGAAATGGACCAAACAAAATGATTTTCAGTAGGGAAAAAAAGTAAATTTCTGCATTTAGGTAGGAAAAATCAGATGCACAAATATAGGATGAGAAACAGTTGGCTTGAAAAGAGGGCATGTAAAAAAATCTGGGGTGTCTTAGTACTGTAGATCACAAGTAGTGTGATACAGCAGCAGCAGCAAAGCTAATGTGAAACTCTGCTGTATTAACAGAAGTATAGTCTCCAAATCAAGAGGAGTAATAACATCACCTGCAATACTGTTTCCAGTTCTGGGTAACATAGTCTAAAAAAAGGTTACTGAGAGGTTGGAAAGTGTCTGAAGACGAGTGACCAGGATGATAAAAGTCTTGGAAACCAAGTGCTATGAGGAGCAGTTGAAAAAGTTGGACTGAAAAGTAGTATGATAGCTGTCTTCAAATATTTCAAGAGCTGTCATGTGGAAGATGGAGTGAACTTATTTTTACAGCTCCAGAGGGAAGGACCCCAAGTAATAGATTATAGAACAGAAATTTCAACTTAATATTAGGAAGAACCTCCTAACAATGAGAACTGTTTGACAATAGAATGGACTGCCTCGTAGGGCAGTCCAAACCATGGATGTGCTTAAACAGAATTTGGATGACTCCCTGTCAGGGATGCTGTAAGTAGGGATTACTTGCTTTGACAGGTGACTAGACTTGATGAACCCTTTGGTCGGTTTGATTTAAATCAAATCCACTTTGAAATTCTTCATGAAAACATTAGAGAGGTGTTCTGGAACATTCAGTTGTTCGCTATAAGCATTTTGCAATGTGTTTGTAGGCCAAGCACATTTGATTTGTTCTGATTTGGACTGCAGTATTTGAAGAAATCAAGTTGATTAAACTTTGGCAACTGCTTTTCCCCTTAGCTGACATTTTTTTCAGCTTGTAAGCCCTGAGGATGTGGGCAGGGTGTTTGGAACAGTGAGTGCTGCTCAACACCATCGCCTTTGGCATATGTTGTCCCTCAGAGCTTTGACTTATACCCTGTATTTGATATTTGTATGAAACAACTGATAGAGATCATTCAAAACTTTGGAGTGAGGTGCTACCAATAAGGTGATGATACCCAGCTCTGCTGCTCTTCATCATCTAACACCAAGGAATCAGGCAGGACCCTTGAATGCTGCTTAAGCTTGATAATGGGCTGGATGGGGTTGGGCAAGCTGAAATTAAATATGAGAAGATGAAGGTACTGCTGGTGAGTAGAAAGCTGGACTCAAGAGATTCATATTCAGCCAGTTCTAGAAGAGGTTGTACTTCTCTGACAGGTCGTATTCATAGTCTAGAAATACTCCCTGATCCTGCACTATGCCTGGATTTCCAGTGGCAATAGGAACAAGGAGTGCCTTTGCACAATTCCCGCAGCACCGCAGCTGTGACCTTTTTTGATTCAACCTGACTAGGCAACGGTCATCCATGCCTTTAATTACCTTGCATGTTGACTACTGAAATGTGCTATGGATGTCCTTGAAGAGGGTCTGTGATCTTTAGTTGGTATAGTACAAAATAGCTAGACTGGTGACTGGTGTGTGGTACTGAGACCATATTTTCTTGTACTGATAGATTTACTCTGGTGGGTAGCCATTTATAGGGCACAGTACAGAGTGCTGCTTTTAAGCTTCAACACCTTAAACAGCCTTGGGTCTAGCTACGTAAAGTAGCATGAATCTTATTAGGGACCTATCTGGAGACTAGGGTCATCAGGAAAGGCCCTCTTGAGAATACCAAGTGTGCAGGAGCACACTTGACAGGCACTGGGCCTTTCTCTTGCATGGCTCCCACACTGAGGGATGCACTCCCTTCAGAGTTGTGAAAAGTGTCCATTCTTGCTCTTTTTAGGAAGGTTGTGAAGACAAATATTCTAAAACTGGCAAATAAGAATATTTAATTTATTGGGGGTGATTTTAACTTTTTGTAGACTTTTATTTTAATTGTTTTAATGATTTCATGGCTGAGTCTGTTTTTACTGCTTTTGTTATGTTTTATGGTTGTAAGCCACCTTAGTAGTGGAAAGGCAGAGTATGAATATAATAAATATAAATAATTATTCTTGCAGGAGATCTTCTCTGCATGTGGAGGAGACCTCAGTACTGCACTTCCTTGGCTGGAATTACAGACAGTGAACTTCAGCTATAATTTCATTGCCAGCTTGGATGAATCATTGGTATGTTGGAAGAAGGGAGAGGTGTAGTAGGAAAGGAGAACAGAATTCTTCTTTCTAAAACACTAATAGAGGGTAATTGTATGTTTGTTTTTAGCAAATTGGTTTTTTTTGTGTTGGAACTTAAAGCTGTTCATTTTTGCTCTTCTAATAATTTGAATAAGGACTTGAGCTTCTGGGTTATGCCATAATTCATGAACTGCCCCCGGGGACTGTACATTTTGTGGCTTTGACCCAGTTGTCATTCCTAACCTCTTATCCTTTCTTGTTTCTTATAAGCAATTACTGAATGTCCTGAGGGCTCTGGATCTTAGTCATAATCTCATCCAGGACTGTGAGCACTACCTGACAGTAAGTATCTGGCACAAACCTTAGTGCCACTCTTTTGATTAATTATGGCTCATAAACAAACTGACTTTTCTTCCCTTCTCCTGTCACTGACCCAGCTCACTGCTCAAATCATCTTGTAGACTCCTGTAGGATCCAATTTGCATGAGAGAAGAATTTCTTTCATTTGGAAACATTTTGTTCCAGTGATGTCATAGACAGGCTGAGATGGGGATCAATGAATGCCACTTCTGATTTGAATCTGTGGCATTCTGCTCTTGCACAGGAACACATCTGCAGTTGGCATTCTAGGGAAAGACTAGCAGTTTCATTGCCAACATGGAATCAGCATTGTATCATCTTCCAGAACAAAGAGCAGAAGAAATGAGAGGTGACGTGACAAGGATCCTACAAAAGCAAAAACCCCAAAAAGCAACATTACAAGAAAGAAAAGAAATGCGATCAAGTCCCTAAACTCAGATCCGGACATCATCATTCTGCCAGCAGACAAAGGCAACACCACAGTAATCATGGAAACAGAAGAATACAAGGACAAAATCAGGGAACTTCTAGACCCCAGCACCTACAGAAAACTGAAACGGTACCCAACCAACAAAATCCCAAAATAAACAAATATGCTGATCAGGAGTTCCTCCCTGCGCCCCAATGTCCTTCAACAAAGCTGCAAGACAGAAGCTCTCCCACCAAGATTATATGGACTTCCTAAAATCCACAAAGACTCAATCCCACTCAGGCCCATTGTAAATGCCATCAGCTCCCCGACATATAAATCAGGACCCGCATTGGACAAACCTCATCCTACATCAAAGACTCAGGACATTTCATAAGCAAGATCAGCACCCTAAAACTCAAGCCTGGAGACAGACTGATTAGCTTTGACGTAGTATCCCTATTCACCAAGGTACCGATAAAGGACACTCTGACACTCCTCCAGCAGATCTTTCCAGAAGACATCAAGGCCCTTTTCCAACACTGCCTAACAACCTGCTACTTTCAATGGGATAACGAGTTCTATGAACAGACAGATGGAGTGACCATGGGGAGCCCCTTCAGCCCAGTTATAGCCAGCTTCTTGATGGAACATTTTCAAAAACAGGCCCTGGCTTTGGCACCCTTCGCACCCAAAGTCTGGTTCCAATATGTGGATGACACCTTCGCAATTTGGAATCACGGTGAAGAAAAACTGGAAGAATTTCTAAACCATCTAAACAGCATCCCCCCAAATATTCAATTCACCATGGAAAAAGAAATAGAGGAACAACTCCTGTTCTTAGAAGTCATGGTCATACGCAAAACTGACCTCCTATTGGGACACAAGGTTTACAAAAACAACACCCACACAGACCGGTACCTGCACAAAAACTCCAACCACCACCCACAGCAAAAAAGAGGCATAATCAAAACACTAAGAGCCATCAAACCAAGAAAACAACACCAAACTGAAGAAGAAAAACAGCCACCCACAAATAATTTCTGCCATACATCAAATGGGTCACGGACCGCATGGGGAAACTTTTCAAAAAACACAACCTACAAACAGTATTCAGACCCATCACAAAAATACAACAAATGTTAAGGTCAGCAAAGGACAAAAGGGACCCCCTCACCACTGCAGGAGTATACCGGATACCTTGCAGTTGTGGACAGGTATATATTGGAACCACAAAACGCAGCATTCACACCAGAATCAAAGAACATGAGAGACGCTGCAGACTAAAACAACCAGAAAAATCAGCAATAGCTGAACATGCCCTAAAACAAGCTAGACATGAAATTTAAAAATACTGAAGTACTGGACAACACCAGCAATCATTATGTTAGACTGCTGTTGTCCAGTATTTTTAAATAAAATTTCATGTCTAGCTTGTTGAAATCCATAAACATCAACAGAACTTCAACAAAAAAGAAGGCCTAAAAGTAAACATGGCCGGGCTCCCAATACTGAAAAATACAGCCTGCAGAGGGTCAGTGAACTCTACCCAGCCACAAGGACCAGGGATCATTGCACAAAAAAGACCAGCTAACAACACCCATCAATCACAGTGACAGATAATCGCCCCCCCATCACAACAAAAACATGCCGATCACCCTATCACCTGAAAAGGACAAAAGGTGTTCCCACAGCTATAAATACTATTCAACGAACAGCAACAGAGCATAAACAGAGTTCTTACTCCAGTCCTCTGAAAATGCCAGCCACAGAGATTGGTGAAATATCAGGAAGAACAACCTTCAGAACATGGCCGAAGAGCCTGAAAAACCTCACAACAACTAGCAGTTTTGATTACTAACATGCTCCTGAAATTATTGCTGTCAAAAGCCAAAAACAGATTGCTGATCTTAAAAATGCATTGATAATTATGCTAGAAAGAGTTTTAACCTTTGTATCAAGTGCAGCTAACGAAACATAATCCTGAAAATAGCTGCCAGCTGATTTTGCAAAAGTGGTAATTGATCGTAGGAAACAAGTCCGTCTCTTAGAGTAGGGTTGACCTTCCAGATGTTGTATTGTAACCTTCATCAGCCCTGGCTAGCATAGCATGTACTCTAAACTTTCTATGATAATACTGATGCTGTATGTGTGTGAGGGTAGAGTCGGGGTGGCTAAGAGCATTTCCCAATAAGTGAAAAGCAAACCAGACTGAGGCTGTGACCACATGATCAAATACCATGGGATTTTGCTGCAGTTATAGTCCAGGTCCATTTGAAGATTCCCCCCCCCCCCCCGCACGGTACAAANNNTCAAATCAGTCCAGCCCTTTTTGTTCCCAGTGTGGTTTTTTTTCTGTGCCTCTGGGGATTTTCCTCTTTTTAAAAGCCAAAATGATTTAAATGGAGTTTTTGCTGTATTATTTATTGGTTAATTTTTGTAAAAATAAGTGATATTTCTGTGGGTGAGGTTTTAGTGCAGAAGGCAGTTGGAGGAACTCTTGCCTCCATGTTCTTTCTCCTGGATCATCCTCTGATATATATATATAAGATTAGCACTAGATTACCATTATCACCTTATCACTAGAACTGCTATACTAATTTAGCACTAGGTCATCTTCAGACAAGGAGACATATTTTTGAAAAAAATATGAACAAAATAGAAACAACTCGGATGAAATAAAAGATTTCCCATATTAGGTGTTGTTTCTGTACATGATGAGGAACTTTGGAATGCTACCACATTTTCCTGAGCATTCTACAACCCTTTCAAAACCAAGCAACTTGAACTACAAGAGGAATGCTTTGTTTATCTATCAGGAACTTCAGATAAAAGTGCAATTACAAGCAGCTAAATTAACCACTGCATTAAATACTTCTCAATTGGGAGGCTCTGCCTTTGTGAAATTAATAGCTAGCCCTCCCTGGGTACTAGCTTTGTCTTGCTGTGACATTACTGCAGTTTTTACTTCCAAATGCCTCATGTGAATGTCATATGCTTGTCTGGGCAAGGACTGAGTTTGTGTCATGTGCAACACTGGCAGATTTTTCTGAACATCTTAAGATAAACTCTATGCAAAGAGCTCTAATCTTTCTGCTGTCATGTACCAGGGTGTTTGTTGCAGACTCTGTTGTTATGGTCTGCTACAATTGTGTTGGAACACGTAGGGTGTTTTTAAGGAGGGGGTGGCATGGGAGAGAGGGCAAGTGTATGAATCAAGAAGACTTTGGAAAAGTTATTTTTGAACTGGGACTCCCAGAATTACCCAGCCAGCCTGGCCATTCTAGGTGGAGGATTCTGGGAGTTGTAATACAAAAATAACTTTCTCAAGCTCTATAATATAGTTCTGCAGTTAGATATGGATACTATGGATGTGCAATGCTGAGGTTTGCTGTTTTCTCTGGACAGGTGCTGACAGAGCTGGAATACTTAAATATGGGCTATAATTTCTTATCTAAAATTCCTAATCTTGGGCTACACAGTCGAGCTAAACTAGTGACTCTGATTCTACGATACAACCAGCTTGATAACATTAATGGTAAGACTGTAATGGAAGATATTCTAGAAACAGAATATCTCGGGTTCAGACTGGATTGGAAGCATTATGTTGTTGTCTGGGGAAAGGGTCCTGGTCTTATATTGCTTCCTATTCTGTAGGTGTAGAACAGCTTTCCAGCCTTCAGCATTTGGATGTTGCCTATAATTTGCTGCTGGAACATGCCATTTTAGCACCACTGTCCTTGCTACACAACCTGAGAAAAGTGAGTAACCAATCTAATTAGAGTCTGGGCAGATGAATAAGGCAGAGTCTGTGTAAGACTGAATATAGTAAGGAACTGGGAGGAGGGTTCTGGCCCACAGTTGTTTAAACGCATTGACTATCTCTATTACAGTGGCACTAAGCGTGGCACCCTAAATGGCATTGAATTCACTATCTTCTAGATGGATGGCATTCAGGCTGAATGTGGTCAGAGTGTTCAACCAAGACATGGGATACCAGTCATCCAGGGAACTTGCTGGATTACCACAGGCCAGTCAGCAGTCCTCTGCCCGCCTTATCTTACTGGGTTATTTGAGGATAATAGGGATGGGGTAGAACTGTGAATGCCATTTGATGGTCTTTAGAGGAAGATAAGAGAGATTTTTAGTTTTGTTTTCCAACATACAATACTGTGGGAGGCTAATGGGAAAAGACAGGCAAGATTTTGTAAATTAGTGATGCTGTTGTTTTATTCTGTGGAATTTATTTGTTCATTTTCTCCAGTTGGATCTGGAGGGTAATCCTTTATGGTTCCATCAGAATCATCGCCCCGATACCATGAAGCACTTGTCTCCCAGGGCTGTTTCCTGCAATGTGAGTATATATATTCTGTTGTATCAATTATCAGAGCTCTAATAGGATGTTATGGTCTCTAACAATCAACATTGTCCAGCAGTATGCTGAGTTTAAATACTCCACATTGGAAGCAAGTCGTGTCTATGTTACAGTGGGTTATTCCACCATATACTTCTGCCAAAATGTTCTTTTCTTCCTTTGAGATGTTGTCCATCTCCATAGGTTACTGTTTATTACTCATAAAAGTCTCATAAAGGCTTTTTAAAATAGTGTCATAAAAGAAAACAGGACTTCATTTTTTCACCATTCAGAAGCAGCAAAATTTTTATAGCTCTGTGGGACATGCATCCATTACAAAGGGTACAATTGTCTCCTCATCTCCAACATGATGAAAAATGGGCTTATGTTTTTGTGTCAGATAGAATGATCAAAGGACAGAAGTGCAGCAGCAGATTTGGTTTATCAATATAGAGTGGCAAGATTCATAGGAACATAAGAAGCTGCCTTACATTGAGTCAGACCCTTGATCAAGCTAGCTCAGTCTTGTCACCACTGACTAGAATCCAGTTTGTTGCCACATAATGTAAAGTTATGCAGACATAACTTTGCCAGACGTTATTCCGAGGTAATGCAGACTGTGCAATTCATTTGTGCACTCTGTCACTTGGTTTCCATTGTGGAAAGTGTTCCTTGGTTAATACTTCTGCCCTGCTGCTGTTGTAGCTTTCACATGTGTAACATTATGCCCACATAGCTATACAACAGGATTTCAACCACTGAGTGGTAGCAGCTGTCCAGGATTTCAAACAAGAGTTCTTCCTTCCCTTATCTGAGAATGCCAAGAATTGAATCTGGCGCCTTCTGAATTCAAAGCTTAGGCTCTGCCACTCATCCATAACACTGTAGATTCTCATGGCTACAGGGTTCTACTTCCCCAACCCAAAGGAAGGGGCTAGGAACATAGGAATTTGCTTTTTGTTGTTAGGTGTCATTACCTGCCTGAATATCTCAGTGAGTTGGAATCTGGCTGCTGGGATAAAGCTCAGTGTTCCCCTGTGCCTCCAGGTAGAAGAACCTGCCTTGGGCAAGCTGCATAGTCCCAGAGCACCCCCAGAAGAAGGGAATAGTAAACCACTTCTGAATACTCTCTACCTAGAAGACCCTGGAAAGGACCACTGTTTGTCATAATCAACTTGATGGCACATGCTTTTATGTGCTGTTAAGTCACATCCAGTGTATAACAACCTTAATAGAGTTTTCATAGTAGGTGGGATATTTAAGGAGTGGTTTTACCTAGGCCAGTGGATTTATCCTCATAGGAGTTTGTCTGTTTCTTGTTGTAGTCAAGAAATGTAGATGATGAGCTCTCACCTGCTTTTGTGCTGACTGTATCTCTGTTATAGGGTCTCATTTACAAGAGTAGAAAAATACTCTATCTGTTGGACAAGCACGAGAGCTTGGTTTTCCAGTTCTGACTAGGAATTCTGTCTTCAATTTTGGTACAGTAAATGGTTTGATAGGCTTTTTGCTGAAATAATATGGAGATGGGAGTAGCAGTGCATTACTAATTATGTTTTGTTCTAACACCAGTTCCTTCTGGATGAAGAGCCACTGTCTGCCTCTGACCTGCGGGTGAGTTAAATAGGAAGTATATATTAGTGCTGATTTTCAGGTATTCTGATGTTAAGAAATAGATTCAGAAGTGGTGGAAATATTCTCATCCTAAATGTGTGCTAGTGTAATCTGACACATTTAGAAAGCTAGCCATACATTTGTTCACTTAGGAAAATGACTAGCTAATTCCCTTGAATTTCCTTCCTCCTTTGTAAATCCGCTGAAATAGCATTGCTAGCTACCTCTTTAAAGGGGTTTTCTGGGAGTGGAGTAAAACCCTCAAATGAGCCACCTTACCTCTTTAAGCCTCATCCTATCTTTCAGCATTATTCAAAACTGGATCACACATTTGCTCAGCCACTCTACACGCCAGCCTCAGAGAGGGCCCTGACAGACCGTAGCGTGTTGGAAAGTTCTTGTGCTGCAGACCAAAGTGAGAGTCAATCCCCTGGAGAGAGCAAATCTGCTAGACTTCCTCCTCGGAAGAGAACTAAGGTAGTCCTGTTCCTGGATGAGTATTCAGGGTTTGGAGCATGCATGGGCAGGAGGAGTGGAAAAGAGGCTATATACTTACACGAGTGACTTGCAGGCCACTTTTTTACATCAATGTGTCAGATTATGTTTTTTCTTTGTACTTCAAGGGGAGTGCTGTGTGACTGAAGTCCTTCTCTGTAGGCTGTGCTGGATCAGGCTGATGATATCACCCACACAGATTTTTCAGAAACATTTCAGATTCCAGCCCCTCCAGAAAAGATCTTGAGGCTCCTGTGGAATCCGTTTGGCTGTCAGGAAGCTGTTGGAGGCCATCTGGATTTGGGGGGGGGGAGTTCTTTCATGACTGAAGACCACTGCCAGTAAAACCATGATTTTCGATCATTAAACATTCCCATCCCTGAAAGTCCTGCATCCCCAACAGCTTCTTGACAACAAAAGCGATTGCACAGGAGCCTTTGGACCTTCAGGGGTTGGGGAGGGAGTCATAAATGTTCTGTTTCCAAAATAATTGATGCAGCCTGATGACATCATCAGCCTTATACAGCGTAACATGTGGAACACAATTTCAGTCAGTGTGGAATAAGATCTCTAATGGTAATCTAGTAAATTATGCAGCATTGCAACAACTTGCTCCATTGTTTTTAAAAGTGATAAAGATGGGGAGAAGATACTGTTTTCTTTCTGGTGACAACCTTGAATGAGTCTTGGCCTGCTTTCCAGAAGTGTGAAGCAATAAGGACACTGTCACTATAACTTGTTTCTGAAGAACCTGGGAGAGCCACCCTCTAGCCTTCACTTACAGCTTGTCTCTGTCTCAGGGAAAAGTCAAAGTGCGCAGAGCTGGCATTTCAGAGCCCAGTGATACAGAACATGAGAACAGAACATTGCACCTCTCAGCAGGTGAGACCGAAATTACAATCGAATCATTACGTGAGACTGGATGTGTATGAGATTGTTTCCAGACCTTATGGGGGTTTCCTCATTCGATAGGTATAGTTCGGCAGCATCAGGCAGAGATGGAGCGTATGGACAGCTTCCGGGACCGCTTTGGTGCACGTTGGCTCCAGTATACACAACACCTGGAAGCAGATGGAGAGGCAAGGCTCATCACCCGCTCTGGCAGCCCCACAATAGGCAGCTCAGGTGGGTCTTCTGATCATAGCAAGAGCGCAGAGACGGAGCAGGATGTTTCGGATGCTGCAGGAAGAAAAGAGCTGGAACTGCCACAGACTCGGCCAGTGGTGGAAAGTCTCAAGGCAAAAGTAGAAGCAGATGGCTTGGCAGCTAATGAAGACAAAGAGCAGGAAGAAAAACTGGAAGGTAAATGCTGCTGCTCCTAGGCCACTTTCCATTTCTTTAGGTTATTAAAAGGCGATGGGCATGCAGAGCCTACGGGAAGTTAGAACAGAGGGTCTCAAAGATGGTTCCAGTTGTCTCCATTGTGGGAGCTGTTGATAGTACTTTGCATTACGGCTTGCTTTTGGCTTATTTCTATTCTGTCCTGTCTTGTGCTTTTCCTGAGTACCTGCCAAGTACTGTCCGTTCCTCAACCACTTTGTGCTTCAGGGGCTTGAGCTATGCATTGGATAGGGCCACTTTTGGTTCACAGCGGCCTAAGATAGACAGAGAAGTGATGCCAAAACTCAGTGGAGCCTCTTCTCCTTTCATGTGGGTGAGGGTATTGGGCAGGAGCAGCCATGTTTGTAAGCAGCTTCACTAGTTACAAAAGTTGCATATTAATGAAAAAAGGCTTTGCAGGATGAACCATCATAGTTGCTAGAACTCTACAGACAGAAGCCAGCAAAGATTAATACTTGTATTTGTGTTGGCAGTGGACCTCTGCCAGCCAGTGTTGGTAAGCCAGATAGAAGGTGATGGTGACCCAGAACCAGACTGGATCTTCCTGCGGGTCACTGCTCAGCATGTGATGGAGGTAGAGCTGAAAGCAGCCAGGATTCTGCACAGGCTGGAGCTGCAAAGCCTTCAGAAAGTAGAGACCTCAGAGATACCCTGGAAAAGGATGGTGAGTTGCAATTGCTCCGCACGAGGGAATGGATTTTTAGCAATGTGCATACTATGCAATGCAATTCCTCCCTGCGTAATCCAGAAGGGAAGAATCTCTAGCCATCTGGATGTCAGTGAACTACTGTTTCCATCAAGCCTCACCATTGGTGAGGCTAGTGTGAATCCAACAATACTACCCACCCTTCGCCTAACTGTAGTGTAAAGGTTTTAGCAGACTCTGCCCAAAGGGATTTGGCTTACGAAATTCGTGTGTACTTGATTCTATGGGTGACAGGACCATTCAGAGTACTTGATGGTTTTTGGAAATCCTGTCCAGCAAATGAAGTTTTGTGTCAACAGGTCTGCTGCCTGATTCATCCTTCCACTCCTAGTATGCAACATGACCTTAGCAATGTATGACCCCTTGGTGCCCATCTTAATGCTGGGGCTTTTCTTGCTTGCCTTGAGATTATTCCAAAGTTTGAGCACCTGTACTCTGCAGAAGGTGCAGAGAATACAGTTTTCTGGCTGTGAATATAGTTCTGGGTTCTGCCCAATACTCACTGTTCATCCTGCTGAGGAGAAGACTGGCTCATTTGCAGAAGGGTTGCTTGGAATATAATCACCTTCATAAAAGGGTCTTTAGTATGCATGCATCTGTGCTTTCCTGGTGCTTTTGCATGTTGGGAGGGAGGGTGTAACCCATTGTAGTTTTTTCATAGCAGATGTAGTTGAGGCATGAGACACTGCCTGTTCTCACCTCAGTGCATGTTACTTTAAAATATTAACATCATGATAAAATACAGAAAAGAACACATGGTAAATAGAGATGGGGGTATTCATATATGAATATCAATATCCTCCCCACAGGTGGAAGTAACAAGGGTCAGGCCCCATGGGGCTGGACTGTCCACTCATGATTTCGCTGCTGCTGCTGGCTCCACAGAGCCTTCTGATCGTGCCGTTCTCCGCAGTGGATTGGCCACTCCTGGCAGGAGGTAGGATGACAAGCCTCTCTGCTAGGTCACAGAGTGGCTAATCCATTGTGGAGAACAGCGCAATAGGAAAGGTCTGCAGAGCTGGTGGCAGCGGCGAAATAATGAGTTATTTCCTCCTGTGCAGGAATATTCGTATACGAACACCCCATCTCTAATAGTAAATCAAGGTAAAATACAGTGGTGCCTCGCTGTAGAACGAAAATGTAATGCGAAATAAAAAAGCCCATAGAAACTCATTAAAACCCGATTAATACATTCCTATGGGCTTGAAACTCACCATCCAGCAAAGATCCTCCATAGCGTGGCCATTTTTGCTGCCCGTGCAGTGAGGAATCCATCCCAGAAAAGAGCGGGGAGCCATTTTTTTTTAACCCGGTGGCCATTTTGAAACCGCTGATCACCTGGCCGAAAATCGTTGTTTTGTGAGAATCGGTTCCCGAAGCAGGGAACTGATCATCGCAAAGCAAAATTCCCCCATAGGAAACATCACTTTTGCAATCGCAAAAAGTTCGCCGTAATGCGATTTCGTCGTTAAACGGGGCACTCGTCTTCTGAGGCACCACTGTACAGTGTCTGCATAGTAAGTCTGCTTGCATGTCATTACTGGATTCTGCAGTGCAAGTATTGTTGGATATACAGTGGTGCCTTGACTTGTGACCCTTTCGAGTTGTGACCATCTCCGGCTGCAAAATTTTGCTTCGACTTGCGGCTGGAGCTTTGAGTTGTGACCGGAAAAAGGCAGGGAAAAAAGGTGGGGAATTCAAATTTGCTAACTGTTGGTAGGCAAAGAGGCTGCTTCTTTGTAGCTCTTTCACCCCAAAGGTTAGTGTGTGTGTCACAGGAGGCTTCGGACAGCCTGGAGCTGTTTCCTCCTCCTGAGTAAGTACATTTACTTTGTTTTGTAGGGTGCGTTTGGGGGGGTATGTTTCTATGCTGTGATGTTTTTTGTGTTTTGGTGTGCTTTTCCCCCCAGCCCCATAGCGTTTGGGCTGGCTGTGGGGGGTTGTTTTTGTGTTTTTCCCAGCCCCATGGCATTCCGATGGGGCTGGCTGTGGTTTTTTTGGTTTTGGTAAAAAAAATTTGCCCCAACGCATTCCAACAGGGCTTGCATTGTTGTGGTTTGGGGGAGGGTTGGTAAAAAAAATTTCCAGGCCCGACGCATTCTTATGAGGCTTGCAGTGTTTTTTGTGTGTTCTGGTGTGTTCTTTTTTCAGTCCCAGTGTGTTCCTATGGAGCTTGGAGAGTTTTATTTTTATTTTATTTTATTTTGGTTTTTTTTTCTTCTGGAACGAATTAACTGCATTCCAATGCATTCCTATGGGAAATGGTGCTTTAACTTACGACCATTTCGAGTTACGCCCATCTTCTGGAAAGGATTATGGTCGTAAGTCGAGGCACCACTGTAGCAACATCTTGAGGAGCTGTTTTTTGTAGGAGTTAAGCAGAATGCCTAGTAGGTGGAGTGAAGATTCAGTGGTCTCTGTAGGTTTAAATATCTTCCTTACCTTGAAAAACCTATTAGGATTGCTCTAAGGCAGGGGTTTCCAAACTATGGTCCATGGGCCACATCTGGCCCACCTTGCTGTTTTATACAGTCCATTCCCTTCAGCCCGTGCTCGCTTGCATGTGCACATTCCTTCAGCCCTCAAAAATGTGGAAAATATACAATGTGGCCCACATGCTCAAAAGTTTGGGGACCCCTGCTCTAAGGTATGAAACCTGATGGCATGTCATACACACACTTGTAACCTGTTCAGACCTGAAGCCTCCTCCTTCCTTATAGGATCTAGAGCGTGTGTTTCCAGTTCTCACACTGCATTTTAGCTATATCTGCAAGGAACGCCAGAAACGTCGCTACGTGGTGTTGGATGACCACCCTGAACTCTGTGTACAGGTGAGTAGATGGACATGCTGGGTAGGAGCAATGGGTGCCTATGCAATACCTTAACTATCCAAATCTGCCGAGAAGAAGAGAGAGTACTTGTCTTCTCTTGAACTTTAAAGACTGACAGAGCAGCCATGCTCAATCAGACTGAAGGCCTATGTAGTCCAGAATCCTTCTTCCTGCTGTGGCCAGTAAGATGACTGAGAAAACTTTAAGCTGGATAAGAGTCCTATTACTTGCCAGGTGTTGGTGTTAGTGGTATGCTAATAGCCACTGAGAGCCCCATCCTTCACTAATTTGTCTAGGTTTTTTTTTGTAAAGTCACTTCAGCTAGTAGTGAGGCAGTATACTCTGTAAATTACACCTTGTGTGAAGATGTACGATACAGTACTGTCTTCTGTCTGCTCTGAATATACTGCTAAGTAGCTCTGAAAGAAGTGCTGCTCTTCTCTTCACTCTGTCTCTTGTACGTACTTAATTCCCTTTAGTGTGATCTTCATACTTCTATGGAAAAAGGGAAGCTTCTGAAAGGAGTGTAGTTGTTGCTTCGTATCCTTGGCTGGCCATTCTGTCCGTGTCTTGCTGCTCTTTTTAGGAGCTGCTCAGAGTCCTGACACCCATCCTGGAGAAAAACAAGAACAGAGGCCACACAAAGGGAGGCCCAAGGTTCCAGTGTCTGAAATGCAAGCAAGAGTTTCCAGGTTGCAGGACACTTGATCGGCAGCATCTAGGCGGTACTAAAGAGGCTACACCTTTCTCTGAAGAAGGTACAGGATGCAGCTTAAAATCTTGCATCTGGTTATATGGGCCAGCTGTTTGGTGCTGGATTCATGGCAGGACTTGTCTGTCACCGAATTATGTAAACCTATAGAGGATTTGAAGCCTTTGAATGTTCAGTTGTTCAGTGCTGCTTCTATCTTGCCCTTACTGGGCTAGATTCATCTTTTGGTGCACTACCATATACTATTTCATGCAATGCCATGAGCAGGTTAATAGTTTGGGGCTGTATAAATTTGTGAGGTAGACATTAATTATTCCCCCAGCTATATAAGTGAATTCCTTCTGGGAGAGAGAAAGCATAATCATTTTTTTTAAACAGAGAATTTTTCCCCCAGGGTTGCTTATAAAAGGCAGACGTGAGAGATTGCTAGTGTTGTTTACAGTACCTTTAGCAAACTGTTGACTGGAATGGTCAGGACCAGATGATCATGAGGTGGGCTTGCAAGCTTTCAAAGGAAAACACAAAATGGAGTAATTCATGGAATGAGCGTGTATTAGACCTTAGTTCTTGAGAGGAGACCTAGTACTTGATTTGCTGAGGATTGTGTCGTTCAGTTTTAAACCCGATTCAGGTGCTATTCAGCCTGGCACTGTGAACACACTGTTATCTTTGTGATTACAGCACTAGGTTCAAAGAGGAGAGGTTCCTCGTATAGGCTCTATAGGTGAGCAAGAACCTTGGAGAAAGAGGGTTCTTGCCTCATGTGTAAATCTACACATGCACAGGACTATTCTTCTTTTCACACTCAGCGCTATAACCTGTAGAACGTGATGATGGAGTGGAACAGGGCTATGCTATCTGCTCTAAGCATGTTCTTAGGACCCTGTTGAGTAACACCTTTATGAGACTATTTTTGCTACCTTGCCTTTCCTCCTTCAGATACATCAGCTTCTAGTGAGCCCATCATCTGCCCCAGCTGCTCCAGTGACCATGTAGTCATTTTGCCCTGTGAGAGACGTTTCAGCACTTCATTGCCCCCTCCAGATGGCTTTGGTGAAAGCCAGCAAGAAGCAGATTCAGGAAAATTCTACATTGGTGAAGATAATACCTCTGAAACAGGAACCAGCTCAAGCATGCAGATTCAAGAGCTGAGCGGTGACCATAGCAGCACTACGCATTCCAGTTCCCACAGTTCGGAAGGAGGAGAAGCTAGCAGAAGGGATCTGGGCTCCAAGAGTCACCATTCCTCCTTCAGCCGCACAGACACCAATGGAGGGAGCCTGATGGGGAGCTATCACTATAGTACTTCTCGTGGAGCCACTCCTTCCCAGCTGTCCCTGAGCTCAGAGCACGAGGAGCACTGGAACCTGAGCCCCCGTGAGTACCTCCAGCCAGCTGCTGCTGGAGTGGGCCGTGGCATGGGTAGCTCTATGAAGCAGTACAGACTGTGTGCGTAGGTTTTCAGCAATATCCACTAAGTTAATGATCCCTGTTCTAAATGGAGAATTATTTTGCTCCAGCAGTAAAGCTGTAGCTCCACCTGCTGATCAGGAAGGGCACTGTAAGGTTAGCATTTTAAATGCTTGCATCTCTGCACTCTGTGATTCTATACTGGACAACCATCTATCAGGTCTGCTTTGATTTGGATTCCTGCCTTGAGCAGGGAGTTGGACTCAATGGTTTTATAGTCCCCTTCTAATTCAGTTATTCTGTGACTGTATGACCTCCCTGGTGTTCCAAAATGTCTGGTGTTCCTGACCCATTTCCCTGTCTTCGTAGGAGTGTCTGTGGTCCTGCACAAGTACTGTCAGCAGTGGGGGGCTGAGGGCAAGAGAATGCCAACTTTATGTTCCAGATTGTTTCAGTGAATGCAAAGACACATGGTGGAACCTGTTCCATGTCTTCTAGCTGATGGGCATCAATATCAAAGACTCCAACGGCCAAATTCCATATTTACTAAGTGTAGGTTTAAAAAATGTATGTATGAATGGGCCCACCAAATTGCTGTACTAATGACATCAGTTTCTGGCATATGGGTGAACAAGAGGGCAGATGTTCTGTGGCACTTCACAGCATAGTTGCAAAGCATAGGTAAGTTCTCTGTGTTAAGCTACCTGGGAGGTCCATTACTGGCCTTCTGAATGGAAGTCACTGGCCCCATTTTTCCAGTCTTTTCTCTGACTTGGGCTGAGTCAGCAGGTATGCAAACTGGCCAAGATAATTTTGCCTTCCTTATATCCTTCAGCTGTAAGTGTGATTTGCGTTTACAGTGTAGCTCAGCTTGCTGGGTTGGTGGTTATGATTAACTTATTCAAAAGGAATAGATTAAACAGAAAAGGAGAATGAGTAGCATTGTGTATAAGTCACTGAAGACTTTTGCTATAGATACCTTGCTTTACCAGAGTAGCTCAGTTACTGTTGGAGTCCCTTCCAGCTCTTCATTTTTATAACTTTATGCATATGGGCACCAGTGACTAGTCAAGGGCAGGCATAATAACTGCTGTTGCTGACTCAACCCCACTGTGGCCATTCATTACCTTTGTTGCTTGCTTCCCTCCTAGCTTCCAATAGTATGTTGACCATGCGAGACTTCTTTTCTGTGGATCATCGTCTGAAGCTTTATTTGGATATGGAGGTCTTTGAAAAGGCAGAAGAATTCAGATGCTTTCTCAAGGTATAAAAAGCAGCTTCCCACAGGCTTGGCATTTTTTTAGATATTTATGACAACAGATGTTGTGGTCTAATAATACAAACAGTGTTATTTTTTTAAGGTTCCATGTTTCTCTAACCATATATTCTGCCATGTTTTTCTTAGGTAGCTATAGTGAAAAATGGCCGGCCTGGGGAGTTCCAGGCACTCCTGGTGGCTTCAGATGCCCAGCTTTATGTGTTAGAGGTAACGGGAGAGATAAGGTGAGAAATGCTATTTTGGATGTTATTCTTAGTTGTGCTTGGCTTCCTGTTTCGACATGCCTTTGATATGCTGTAAGCCATGAAACAGACACATAGTGTGACACTGTACCAAAACTAGTTCATTTTATAAAGCATTATGTGCTCTGGAGCCTTGGTCGAAGGTCCTTCTCATCACATGCTATCTGAGAATTTTTAGCCAGAGTTGCCATCTCTAGCTAAACTGATCTTTGTGCAAAACATGTATTGTGCCATTTAGTTCTCAGTCCTTCCATTATTTTTATGTAATAAAAATATTTTGTAACTCTGTGCTACTCTTTAGCAGATCTTACAAGTGAGTAGCGTTTTGCTTGCTCCAGTTAGATCAGATCAACTAAGTGGGTTTTATGTAACTGTTGACATACCTCTCAGCAATTGATTCAAATCGGTCTGTTCTTTGTTGGGACCAACAGTAGGTTACTGGCTCTAAAATTCCATAAAAACAACATATCTTCGCCTTGTGCAGGTAAAGTTAAGGGACAAACTCTTAGGGTAAGAAATACCACAAATAAGGTGCCACCACTGAGAAAGTTATCTCCCTTTTCATGGCTTTCTATATCTCTGATGGAAGAGAAGACCTAGAATAGACCCTCTAACTATGACCTTAGTGTAATAGTGCTAGTCCCTGCCTGGCAAAGAAATCTGTGTTCCTGATCTCCTGTCCTGGTGGGTGGTGTGGGTCTCACCTTTCTAGTTGGTGACTGTTTGTGTTTGATTCATTTGTATTAGGGGACAGCCATCAGATTGGCTGAAGAAAGTGAACTCCCACTGCCTGTCTGACCTCTGTTGCCTGGAGGTGGGCTTGTGCCACCAGAGCTTGCATATGGAGTTTGTAAATCCCTGTGCTTCCTATACTTTGCTACTTCGCAACCAGAACCGCTGCAGAAGATTTCTCCAGTGCCTGACATGTAAGAGAGGGTATTCACTGTGATCGGCTGTGCACTGTATGTGCATCTTCTATGCACTTGGGGATGGGTTGAAATTTAAGGGTGAACACAGCATCTGATAAATAGCGTCTGTTTTCATGGTAAAATTTCTGGGTTTAAAAACCAAAGGTGCATCTACTGAGACCAGATGGTATATCTCTGTAAATAAAGATAGTCACAAAAGGCAGGCCTTGGAGGAAGGTCATGGAAGAAGTCATAGCTCATGGGAGGCAGCATGCTGGAAGAAATAGTGTAATTGGGCTTGGCACTCTCAAGACTTAGAAGCTGAAAGCCACTGCTCTGCCCAGAAAGAGGAAGGTGTCCATGTTAAGAAGGCTGTGTTATATCACTTTAGCCTCAAGTCTGTTTAGCCTTTTATCTGGCTATTTTTCCAAGGAGGGAAAATAGTCAGATTAAAAGTGGTTTGGGTGGTGATGCCAACCAAATGCAGGTTGCCAGTGCAGCTCTGCTGAGTGTTTGACTCCCAATGTTGGCTTGAGTCTGTCATGGTCATGTAATAACTTCCTTTGATATCATGTCCAGATCTCTCACAGGAATTGCCAGCCAAAAAAAGGAAAAAAATCCCAGATGTGACTGTGGTAGAAATGAATCCACATCACCCATTATGGTAAGGGACTTCTTGTATTTGTACGGTGGAAGTTTTTAGCCTACAGCTGGTGTCGGCATGACTGGAACATGCTTATGGTGTGCAAGAGAGAGATCCTTGCAGGGGGATGGGTGCAATTGAAAGGGAATATGCTGATAGCCACACTCCATTTTTTTATTCCTCTTTCTGAGGCCATTGATTGACAAAGACCTTGCAAAAGAAGCTGTAGGTGGGTCAGCCAGACCCTTCTTCTACCTGTTGGCATATCTCATCCAAGGTATGGAAGTGCCTTCCTTTGAGTTGTTAGTTTTTTATTTCAGTTGTTGCAAGAGATTTTTGCAACAAGACATTGTTCTGTTGTTTTTAGGGACTTCAGCCTTCCCTGTGACTGTGGTCAGCACACGTAGTAGCATCTTCTTAGTAGAAGAGGATCACCAGTGGCCGAAAGCCCCACCTTCCTCAGGCTCTGAGAGTGGTGCTGAGAAGGAGTCCAAGATCTACTTTCACGTGAAAGAGAGTGAGCCAATCAGCAGCATCTGTGGTGTTGTGCTCTACCGGTTCTCCCCCTGTGATGTTCAGTTGCAGCTTTATGATGAGGTAAACAACCACAGACGTAAGAGGTTTGCTTCTGGGATACTGACTGAGCTGAGGGACAAATGCTTTGGGGGGAAATGTGAGTGTTCTTGCACGCCTGTTTCTCTACATTCCTATAACCAAAACAACACATTCTGGGCTGCTGCAAGGGTCTCTGGGTGAAAGTACGGTAGGGGAGAGCGAGTAAAATTCTGAGAATATCACAGAATCTAGGAGTATCCTCAGTGCTGAGAACTGTGAGCCAAATTCTCTATTCAGGGGCTTACCGGAGAATATGTCTAATGCCTGATGATTTGAACTCTGCCTTCTCCCTCTTCAGGTCCTCAAAGTGGAGAGCATGTGGCATTTGCGAACAGAGTGTCCTGATCTGCTGGCTGAACTGGTGGAGTGGCTGCGTGTACCCTGGGAAGAGATGTTCTCAATTGCTCTCCGTAAGACTGTGCTGGAGGTGTTCAAGTAAATGAAGGAACATCTGGCACGTTTCTGTCCTTGTTAGACAGGACAGCTCTTGGAACTCTTCACGTCTTTGCTGCGCAAAACTAATTTGAACTTCTCAGTTGTTGGAAGCTCCAGCAACATCTGGTAACTGCAACAGGATAGTGGCTGTCCATCCATTGTGTTCATAACACAGATTCTAGGCCAGTTGTATGACTGCCTTGGTGTTTGTGTAGGTCACTTCCTGTAGGGCAGGAGGAGGACCAGCCACAGCCAGGCCACAAATGACTTCCTGCAGGATTGGAAGAAGATTCCATAGGGGCTCCGGGGGCTTTCCACAGCAGTTCTATGTGCACTTGCCACTTTTTTCTGGGGAGGTCAGGCAAACTAGTGACGCAATAAAACTGTCATGGGTTCAGGGACTTGACATCTTCAGGGTGGATCCCATGAACCTTCTGACCTTCCTTGTTTGTATTCTAGAATGGTCTAGAATGGATGCTGGGGCCTGTGCGTCTTACAGGCAGAACCTGTACAGAGTCATCATGGCTGCTACTGGGACATGGGGTTGGGAATTCTTGTACACTTTGTGTCTGTGGATGTGGGGATTACTCAGGGTAGAAGTCACTGGAAGCCATGTTCTGTGTGGAAGACAAAGACACATTTTAACTGTGAAACTTTTATTTTTGTTGGTAATAAAAGTGTTTTTATTAGCCTTTTGCCTTTCCTCGGCTGATGTAATTTCCTATATGGTTTAGATTTTTATAAGCAGCTAGTCCTGCTACTCTTCTCCTGATCACGTTAATGTCATGTGGCTTCTGTTTCTAGGTAAAAGTATAGAGAGAATAAAGTTAGTCTGCATTTTTCCACTTAATGCTGAGTTGAGTACTCAAAAAACACCATAAGGAGCTGGCCAGAAGGAGTATAGCAGCAAGCCGGCTTTGAATCCTCCGTTCCCTAGAATTAATACAGAAAGAGATCAAGTAAAGTAAACACGTTTTATACCAACTTTATGAAACTTGTTCCTTCAGAAATAACAAGAAGTCTTTTGGCACCTTAAAAACTGTCAAGTTTTATTTGGCCTAAGCCTATGTGGCCTATAAACCACTGTGTGAAATATGTCAGATCATCCTAATCTGAATAAATAGACGAACATGGCTACCCATCTGGGTTTTCTTTGGAGTTGTGCCCTTTGAGGTTTAACAGTCTCCTTGTTTGGCAGCCTCCTTTCATTTTGACTGAGTAGTAGAAATATTAAAAAGAGACAGATGATATTGCGTTGTTTAGTCCTCGATGCTGTATAGAATGATGCAACCTCCACAGTTAATTTCCTGTCCCTTTCTTCTTCTTTTTTTTCTCCTGCGGGATATTCTGTCCTTTCTTTTCTGTTGAGCTGACAACTTGTGTTTCTTTCTTGATCTGACTTGGAAAATTGGTAGCAAAATGCAATCTGTTCTTTCTGAGTACCCTGAAGCATGGAACTCTTATTGCAATATGTTGCACGACCAGTTAGCTGACCTTTGGCATTCTGAAGAGCAAAGTATGCCTTGATCTGCATCACCAGCTAACAAAGGATTGAAGCAGAGGCAATATTGCGAAAACGGAGGTTGTTGAGGATTCTCTGAAGACATTGCAAAGACCAAACAGCCAAGGAGACGGTCTTTGTGGTGTGCCATGGTGCAGATCCGCTTGAGCAAACACATAGTACAGTGAGACTTACATCCTTTTTTTGGTTTGCAGCAAGAATCCCATATAGATTTTCTCAAGGTCCCAGCCCCCTCCTCAAATTACCGTATTTTTCGCTCCATAAGACGCACCTTTCCATAAGACGCACCAATTTTTTAGGAGAAGAAAACAGGAAAATATAATTTGTTTTCTTCGCTCCATAAAATGCACAGACTTTCCACCCCCCTGTTTTGTGGGAAAAAAGTACGTCTTGTGGTGTGAAAAATACGGTAATCTTGCAAAGTATAAGCATCAGCGTTAGTTTGAAGCTAAGGAAAAAATTCCCTACCATTGTTGTTTCCCAGTAACTCTAGTCATCCTCACTCTCAGTCTTCTTTTGCTCATGGTGAGCAGATGATGCACAGTAACATTACAGAGGAAGTTGACCCATTAGGGCAAACTGGACACTTGCTGGACTTAGGCTCAGGTTACTTCAGCTGATGTGCAGAATGAATGAATGGGATGGGGTGCAGAAGTGGTTGAGTTGAATGCCTGTGTGTGTTTGTGTGAGCAGATACTATCTTGTCTGCCTGTACTTGTGGATATGAATACCGACTTCTGCTGCAGGCTACAGATGGGCACGCACTGCTGGTTTGGCACAGTTGCCAGTGGAGGTGGGATGGGGTGCTGTTGAGTGGGCTTCCACTAGAGGGGGCAGGGCACTGAACCACAGATCAGCTGTTTGGCTGGGAAATGAACCTTGACCAAACCAGCAGTTCATACCATCTCTACCTCAGACTCTTCTTCTCATCCCTGATTCCACCACCATTGGTTGCTGTATCCTCTTCCTCCTCAATTGGATCTGCAGCAGTGATTTTCAAAGATTGAAGTTTCTTCCTGTCCGAAGAACTCTAAAGGTTTCCCAAGGATGAAAATTTGATGGCAGAAAGTGAGGAGGAATTAAAGAACCTTGTAATGAGGGTGAAAGAGGAGAGTGCAAAAAACGGCCTGAAACTCAACATTAAAAAAACTAAGATCATGGCCACTGGTCCCATCACCTCCTGGCAAACAGAAGGGCAAGATATGGAGGCAATGACCAATTTTCCTTTCTTGGGCTCCATGATGACTGCAGATGGAGACAGCAGCCCCGAAATTAAAAGACACTTGCTTCTCGGGAGGAAAGCGATGAAAAACCTTGACAGCATCTTAAAAAGCAGAGACATCACCTTGCTAAAAAGTCTGAATAATCAAAACTATGGTTTTTCCTGTTGTGATGTATGGAAGTGAGAGCTGGATCATAAAGAGAGCAGACCGCCAAAGAATTGAGGCTTTTGAATTGTGGTGTTGGAGGAGACTCTTGAGAGTCCCCTGGACTGCAAGGAGAACAAACCTATCAATTCTAAAGGAAATCAACCCTGAGTGCTCACTGGGAGGACAGATCCTGAAGCTGAGGCTCCAGTACTCTGGCCATCTCATGAGAAGAGAAGACTCCTTGGAAAAGACCTTGATGTTGGGAAAGTGTGGCGGCAAGAGGAGAAGGGGACGGCAGAGGATGAGATGGCTGGACAGTGTCCGCGAAGCAAACAACATGAATTTGACACAACTCCGGGAGAGAGTGGAAGATAGGAGGGCCTGGCGTGCTCTGGTCCATGGGGTCACAAAGAGTCGGACATGACTAAACAACTAAATGAAGGGTGAAAAAGGATCACTTGGCATCCTTGGAACCTGAGTGGGACAAATAGGAAACTTTTAATTAAACATTAAATTCTATGGCTAACCCCATCATCAGCCTTACATGTGCAGAGCTATGTGAACAGGATTCCAGTTAAGTAGGTACTGCACAATTTAAGATCATTTGCTGTTTTTCTCTGGAGTAAGAGTGTGCAGCTCTTATATGCATCAGAAGCGGTATGGATTGAGAGAATTAAATCTCCCATCTTGTTTTACAATTCACTTTTTAAAATTCAGATGCTTTTAAAAAAATTCTGGGTATAAATGTTAAAACAAAACCAGAATAGGGGTGGGGAGGCTTAAACTCTTACCACATGCAGCTGGGGTCCAATTCAGATTAGGTATGAGTATTCTTAGGATGTGGTGGCGCTGCGGGTTAAACCGTAAAAGCTTCTGTGCTGCAAGGTCAGAAGACCTGCAGTCGTAAGATTGAATCCACGCAATGGAGTGAGCTCCCGTCACTTGTCTCAGCTCCTGCCAACCTAGCAGTTCTAAAGCATGTAAAAATGCAAGTAGATAAATAGGTACCACCACGATGGGAAGGTAACGGCGTTCCGTATCTAATTGTGCTGGCCACGTGACCATGGAGACTGTCTTTGGACAAACGTTGGCTCTATGGCTTGGAAACAGGGATGAGCACCGCGCCCTAGAGTCGGACACGACTGGACTAAATGTCAAGGGGAACCTTTAACTTTAACTATGAGTATCCTTATGCAGGTAGCTTGATCCTCACTCCATTCTTAATATATCTTTCAATCAATTTCTAATCAGGAAGACAAAAATGGTGTTGATTGTCACAGCGCTACTTGCAGCCTATTGCTTTCTTAATCATTATTTGATATTAATGTAAATAAGATGCAGTTTGGGAGGAACCAATGACATCTACTCTTTCCTTCCAAAATAATATTTTTCAGGATTGTTTTTGTTGTGGGTATTTTTTTGCCATTTTAGCCAGTTTTTAGTTGAGGAACTAAATAAATATACAGTTTACATAAAATCGCTAATGTTACCCTGCAAAACCTACACTATTCATCGTGCATTATATAATGTTAAAATAACAGCTATTGCTAACACTTATTGGCAATGTTAAAGTAATACTTCCAAGGTCTGTCCAAAGATGTCCCTTATCAGACCATTGTCTTGGTAGAGAACTCTCCCGATGTTGGGAAAACCAAGGTTCTGTTTAAGAAGGTAACGTATAATAAGGTAAGCTATACTGTGCCTTTGTGCCATGGACCCTAGAAGCATGTAATGACTGAATGGGTAGCAGTGATGCTCTGTCCTGGTGGGCCTGGGGTGGTGAGGAATTGTAGTCTTGTGTTCCTCAGATCCTGGGCACATTCTGATAAAATTAAAAATGTTTCTTTACAACAGTTACCTTGCTGTTGTACTTTAGAGCTAGCAGGGAAGGTGAGACCTAACAGCAAGTGATTCTGATGATGCCGGTTATTCCACTGTTTCTCTTCATTCTGTTATAGCAATTTGTATAAGTGTAGACTTGGAGTTATGCCACTTTAGAGGGTTAGTGACAATTTAAATCTAGTCCAACTAGGGAAACTTTTATCTGTCTCATCTAAGGAACCCACAGTGGACATATGCAGTTTTCCTCCATTTCATCACAGCAAGCATCTGACAAGGAAGGACTTGCTCACAATCACCGAATGAGCTTTTTGGATGAGTAGGGTTCAGATCTATATCTGTTTGGCCCTAGCAAATTCAATCAGCATACAGGATTGGTTCTAGAAAGAAAACAAAATAAACAGATCAATGTCTTTCTTTTAACCAAGTGGAATATGTTCTGCTTCTGCATAACTATGTACATTCCTAGCACAGCTAATGTTGTGGAGTTTGAAACAGGTGAGACTATGCCTTAACCATTTTAGCTTTAACTTTCAGATGATTCCATGTATTGCATTTTTAAAACACAGCTGTGTCTTAAGTTTGATACGCATCTCACTCTTTCACAAGTTCTTTGGTGTGGAGGGCACACCATGGTGAAAGTCCCAGAAATGGGTTCTGTTTGTTTGTTACATTTCTATTTCACTATTCATCCACTGAGCTCAAATCACTACAGTATTTGTATAGATGCTTTAAACTATTTTTAGAGTGTGTTTTCACATAAAATGAAAATGAAACACAGATTCTACATTAAAAGAAATATATTTTTGTTTCCTCACAGGAAAAGGAAAAAATTATAGACTTCAGCATGCAGATAGAGCAATAATGATTGGAAGGGAATAGAAACTGCTTTTTTCAGCTATTCCAGGATATCTGCAAAGCTCAAAATCTATTGGCCACAACCAAGCTTGCATCTGCTCAGGCC